ATCAGACAATAGGAAACGTTGTTGGCATGCAAAATATTTGCATGGTAGGTGTTGAGTAGAATGAACTGTGCAACTATTCCATCCTTCGTAGCCTCTGACATCGATTGAAATGTCAAACGAACCTCTGGGCCCCTGAACGTCCACACATCACTCTCGTAGAATGCAGCAGGTCGAAAGACGCCCAGAACCATAAATTATTTCTCGAATGCGACGCAGTTGACTGACTGCCTCTCGCCGTTTTTTGCCTCATTTAGTGTTTGGCAGTTTAGCACCGCCCAATCTCTTTATTAGACCATTAAATAATAACGAACCCGGTTCGATATGAGACGCACTAAGAATAAACTGTGCTGTGTGTGTGAATGTCCATAAAATACGTGACACTAAATCTCGAATTTTTCGAAGTTCCCTCCCCAACACGTAACGCTTATGTGACAAAGGTCCCTATCATTCAACACTCAAAAAAACACTATCGCTGAGGTCATCGATAGGTTACGTAAATAACGTCATTAGCGTCATCCACGACGTCATAGATAACGCAACATAAGAGTGAGCGATGAAAATGAAAAATATTAGAGCATTGAGCCGTAAGGCAGCGCAAAAGTGGACTGACGTATCATTCACGAGATATAAATTTCGTGCCCGCCCCCACAATGACGATCAACTCTCCAGAAGATAACGGTCAGATAAAGCGTTACGTGACGTTATTCCTAACCGCGTCAACGTAGCCTATTTCACGCGATGATATACAGATAACAAGTGTCGTCAGACGGGGCAAATCATCATCAGCACGTCACACGCCCAGAAATACACCCGATGCATCTTCCCGAAGAACTAACCGTGAAGTAAGACGTACGCCTACTCAGAGAGATTGTTACTTCTCCCTTCGAATTTCTCTCTTACCGTACTAGGGAAGGGAAAGGCGTGAAAAAACCATTATGGGCCTCTTCAGCCCCGGGCTGCGCCTTTTTACGGCGCCATAAAAGTGTTTATTTTTCCCATTGCCTTATAGTTGCGTTATTTGCGGAAGATATCCTTCGCAACGTAGTCAAATTTTCAGTTTCCTATGCCTCACATGATAGTATTTGAATAGTACGAACCGTCTGTCGGTTCTGAATAAGCAAGGCATTTTCTCGTAGGTATTAAATTTTGATTTTGAAATGTTGAAATTTTCGCTGTGAAATATAAAGTAAAACCGGAAAATGGCCCCCCTTCAAGAATTCATACTGGAGTGCGGAAGGGTGGGAAGATTGCATTTTCGTCTCATATATTCCTTTTAGGTATTTCAGGCAAAAGTCCGTATCGTGTTCTCGGAAGTTTTGTCTTTATTCAATATTTTTGACGTTACCTGCGACATACGTCAAGCCAAGAAATATATGAAAAGAATTGAAAATCATCATCAATGCCTTCTTGGCGACAGGAGGCTATAATGAATTTTAAGACTTTACGAATCAACCTCTGAAATTACCCTCTTCTTAATTGTGCGGTTTGATTGAGCGACGTATTTAATGAATAAGCCATATTACAACTGACCCACTGGTCAAATTGCATCACACGTTACTATACAGCCAAAAGGTTACAATACCCCGTAAGAGAATGTTTAGTCTTAGGGAAAATGACCGCATGATGAAAGTAAAACCACCAAAATGATTATGCATCTGAGATTAGTCACTTTACTAAAATCTCCCCAGAGGATATCCCCTGAAACCCTCTATGTATTTTGTTCCTGGTTGCTGATCCTATTTTTTACCTATTCATATAAGTATAATAATAATAATAGAAAATATAAATACAAAATATCATGGCCGGATTTACCTACTTGCCGCCCATGGCCGCCTGTATTTTGCCGCCCTCTTCTCATTCATTTTGAAGCATCAATACAAACCAATTATCAAGCCATCAAGTGAACGTGCCGGAGGGAGAAGAGTGCATTAGACGCGTTCACTCGTGTTGGACACATTTCTTGCGTAAGCTTTACTACTAGCAAAAGTTCACGGAACTTTGCGCAAAAATTAAGTTCCGTGAACCTATCTCTGTGTGGACGAGGCCTTTCATTTAAGAGAAGAATGAAAAATTTTTGAAAGAATAAACATAAATGTGGTTTAATAATTTTAACTTCCGCCGCCGTGCCGCGCTGACCACACTGTGTTTGGCGCAATGCGTGAAGTATTCATGTAGTCTTGTAGGCACTGTGCGTTTCACGCCGCGCCAACCGCTGCTGACCGTACTGTGTTTGACGCAATGCGTGAAGTATTCATGCAGTCTCGTAGGCGCTAATACGTGTTACATGCCGACCGCCGCGTCGAGGGCTTCTCCTTTTCATCTTAAGTCCGCGTCATCATTTCTCTTTGCGCCGCGCCGCTCCAGGCCAAGTTACGTGCTTGGTTTCTCTCTTAACTCAACTAATTAAAGGTGCGCAGACTTTTGTATCACCGAAATACGACAAAATTAGAAATTAATGAACACTCAGGAAAGAGAGATTTTGTCACCTTTTCTTGTTTGTATTTTTTTCTGAATCCGATGTTTTTGTACCTGCATTTAAAAAAAATGCAACATTTACCGCCCCCCCCCAATTTTGCCGCCATGGGCCGCGGCCCATGTGGCCACCCCCTTAATCCGGTCCTGCAAGATATAAGAAATCTAAAATAGGGTATTAATTAAATTTATTAAATTTTCATCCATGCAGATCCCACCCAGCAAAATTAGGGCCAGGTTATCCTCAGAAAATTTCTCTAGCTATGCCT